TGGTTTCAGATTTTGAATCGGTAGAAGTATATGAAATCATCAATTATAGTTTCTCATTTATATCAACATTAATATAAATGTATGTAATCATGACAATCATTGCGTTATTTCAGAAATGTATTCTTTATTAGTATTGGAAGGAGCTTCTTGATTATACTGGTACTCTTCTTATATTTATTTGCTATTTTCTTTCGTCTAGTGCAGGTACACGACATTTTGTGTGTCTTAGAAGAATTCCAGTGAAGGTCGACTGGATGTTTCCCTCGCCATGACCCCCGCCATAGACATGCTCACTTGATCCATGAATTTGAATCCAGATATGGTCATCTTTGTTCACATCTATGATATCCATCGATGAGCTGGAGTCTGCTCCTCCTGGGTAAGGGACATAACTCGAAGCGCGAGATGTACCTCCGACTATCAGCTGGGTATAAAATCCACTGCTTCCTGTAGCTAAGGTCCAGTGGAACATGTAGATCCCTGTGTTAGGAGCAATAAAGATCCCGTCTTCAGTGTGATAATGGTTTCCCATGTTGATGTACGTCTGATCAAATCTTATGATTACCGCTAGTAGATGAGGATTTGTATGCAGAAAAAATGACAGGATCTGATTGATCGGCCGAACAGATTTTTTTTTTAAGTTATTTCATTACAAATTGCAAGTCTAAAAGTTTCTGATTTCGATGTGTTGCTGCTATTTTGCAGATTTTTCTCTTAAATTAAGTTGGTTACCGTAGGCCTTAAATAAAATGAAATTAATCTTATGATCTTTCAGGTTTATGCACTAAGATTCTTTGACAGAAGAATAACAAATTTCTATTTGTTTTTAATGCATCTTTTAAAAATGCAAGACATAAACATTACTGCAGTGCCGAAATGAATTTAATTCAAAATATGATTTCCATTGTTTATAAAAGACAAGATTCACTCTAAAAAAATCTTACTAGATCTGATAGCAAGGACATCCATTGAGGACACATCGGCATCACTTCTCCCTGTCAGTAGTTGTCCCAGCATTCGCTCTGTGGCGTTCAGTCGTTGTTCGGTCGACTGTTCCAGTCTAGATAAGCGCTCTTCAACGCTGGTCATATTCTGGGCTTTCAGGAGGGTGGTCAGTTCAGCAGTTGAGACAAATACAAGGAGAAGAGGCAAATGATAAAGGAACATCCTGAAGTGTTATTCTAAGTTTAGCCCTGATAAGCTGTTTTTGCTCTATAGCTCGGGGAGGGTATATAAAACGTTCACGTTGTGAATGCTTTTATAAATATTCACATTTTAGCTTGCCTGTTTGAGTAATATTTTTGGGCTTAATACTTTGTATTCATTGACTGAAGTAAACATTGATTTTTTTTAGTCAGATTTAAGGAATAGGGATTTAAAGTTTTATTTTGGTCTTTATACGAGGGTTGATCAAAAAATTCGCGAACTAATTGAATAACCTCCATAAAAGAAACAATATTTGGTTTCAGTGTTGATCATATTTTATGGTCTTTCCATCATCCCATATTTAATGGTTCAAAGAATAAAAACTTCAATGATTTTTCATTTGATCAAGTTTAAACTTACCAATTATTGCTTAAATGTATAGGGTGCCATATTGCGGTCACGTGGTTTTATATTTCTTTCCATGCAAGTCTATTTTTATAAAAAGAACATTTCATTTGACCAGAAATTGTCAACCTCGGCATAACAATGGGTGGATAAGAATATCCTTTCCAAACAAATGAGCATGGCTACCATCAAAATCCAAATTGATGGTCTCAGGAGAGTCGTTTATTCAAGGTGGATAAAGTATGAAAGCATCTTTTTCATCATATCTAATATGTTCAAAATCTAAAGTAAAGGATATCCTTGGTATTTAATAATCATATTATTTTTAAGATATTCAACTATTTTTAAAACTGTAAATTTGCAATCTTTTATAATGAATTGCTTAATTAAAAACACATCTCTTTTCAAACTTGCTTTCACTGGACAAAAGAACAAATATAATGTTATCCATCTTCCTTCCTTCACTAAAACAATCAATCCGATCGTTGATTGAATTTTTAGGAAGTCTTTTGCCTTAATGAACTGTTTACAAATTATCATATAATTTATTTAATTTGATAAATATGCTGCGATGGAATGTACAAGATATACCATAAACTTTTATGCCGTTCAGTGAACGAGTACGACTGAGACAACCATTTTTTTTGGTCACAAGTGATCTATACATTGACTTCTTTTTCATATTGTGACGTCACAATTAAGGAGAAAAACATTATCTTGCGTATATAATTTATAGAACTTAGGTGTGGATATGTGTGTACCAAATTTTATTCTAATCTAAATTGTGGTTTTGTAGATAAAGAAATAGTTCGCGAACTTTTTTATCACCTTTCGTATATCTTCTTTCAGTACTCAATGTAGCGTTCATACAGTCACACTCAACATCGGAAAGCCACTTTTCAAAAAAAAAAAAAAAAGAAGAAGAAGGTTTTTGTATCAAAGTGTCAGAATTAAAGTATGAAAAATGATATTTTTTTTCTGTTGACAAATTTCAGCACTTTTTTCATGCAGGCTACTGAAACAGGCCAAGCATATTATGAAACATTGTTTAAGTATGAATCGAAATAAAATGGATGTCCAAAGTATCAAGATTTCCTCATCTCCTTAACTTCATAAATCGTTTTAGGTGATAAGTAAAAGTTTCCTTATATTTTCTCTAAAGTTGACAATAAATATATTACTAACCTCAAATTTTGATGGGAAACTTTCTAAGTGTGGAATTCTTAGCATTTTTAGGAGGCCCAGATGAATTTTATCATAGTTGTTTTATATAGAGAACGATCAAAAACATTTATACCTGCATGCAGTTCAACTGGATTTGCACTTCATTGATTTCATTATTTTTAAACAATTTAATCAGGAAAGGCAGCACCTTCAAATTTTGTGGAGAGCTGAAATCCTCTTTATGTATAATAGACTTTGAGATTATTAGCTCTGTTTTTCAACATTATCAACTGAAGTCGTTCATAAATTACGATTTAATTTTAGTTCTGTAGTTCTGAGTGGGTTCTTTTTTTTTTTTTTTTTTTTTTGGTCGTATCAAAATGAAGCAACAAATTCTCTAAGTTTTCAATTAATCGGATTCTCTATGAAACACAAGAATTGTTCCAAATACAATGTGATTTTTTTCAAATTTAATTTAATCTGTAAAATTTACACTTTATTCTGTAAAGTTAAATTTTTACTCTGTAAATATTACAAATATTTAAGTGTTAATTTTATCTAGATCTGATAATTTTAAAAATTTGTAAATTTTACACTTAAATCTGTAAAATAAAAACTTAAAACTGTGAATTAATCAGATTAAAGTGTACAATTTGCACTTTAAACTGTAAATTACGGTACGTGTACATAATTTGGCGTATTCAAAATTTAACGCAACCAATGGGTATGGAGTTGTTGATGTAATCATGAATTAGCGCTACATACCGGTATGTTCGTGCCGTATATTCTATTTATAAATGAATTCTTAGTGGTATTCATGAATTAGTGCATCCTCGTCTGCTCCAAAGCCGCTTAAATATAAAGAACCTCCCACGATTTGTAGTTGGATATGATTTTTATCAAGGCTCGGGGATACTAAAAAAAACCACACAACTCGTTTGATAAAAATCATATTCAACCAAAATATGGGAGATCCTATATATATATATATATCGATTAGGTTTTTTTCTAGTCGATGTTGCATAACAGATTAGATAAAAGTTACAAAAGTTTTTGAATTTCTTTTCATCTTATCTACACTTTTGATGTTGCATACGTTATGTTGCATGTGTTATAAGAGTTTAGGTATTCCACAGGAGGATTTCGGTAAATGTCAACTGGATATTTTTCTGGTGGTTCTGAAGATTTTACATGGGACAAATATGAAATATATGGCTCAAATTTCAACTGTTTCAACTATTTTATTTTAAATCTTTAGACAAGAAATTAAAAGTTAAGTGGTGTAAACCTCAGTAAACAATACGTGTGGTCTTTGCAAAATTTACAATTTCGATTGTCATATACATACATACATTCAAAATTTTGTAGAGGACACATCTATTGAAAGAGCCATAGCGCATTTGATAGTCACTTTCGCCTGCTCCAGCAGAAAAACAACTTCTGAATAATTTTATTTGGATATGAATGCACTTCATTACATTTAGATAATTTTGGTTAAAGGTGGTCTTCATATTGAAAATGTTGAAAATATGTTTTTAATTTTTCTTCTCAAAATTATTTTAAGATTCAACAATCTTTAGACTATCTTAAATTTATCCATTCGTTTACAATGGTGTTGGATTGTAGACATAAAGATCGTGATTTCCAGTCTCAAAGTGCGTTTTTCTTGTCTATGCTTTTATTTTTTTCTCTCTGTGCATTTTTTCCTATGTTTTCTTTTATTATTTTATAATACATGTATAAATAATGTAAGAGATATATAAAACTACATTACACCTTGAAAGTATCTCGGGGGGAAAAACAGTCCAAAACTATTTAAATGACCTAAAGTCATAGCTCCTAGCTTGTTTTATTTTTAAAATTTTATTAAAAAAAAAAAAAAAAAAAAAAAAAAAAAAAAAATCTTCTTTAGAGTAAGAGTATTGAACAAGTAAAATGATTGTCATATAACAAACTTGCAACTATGAAAATATAACAGTGGTCCACAAATGATTATATACATGTAGTTTGATCTTTAATTGAAAAGATACATGTATCTATAAATAGAAACATGTGATTTCCTTTTAAAGACTTGAGTCGGCCGTGTCGTCGGAAAGGCAGCTATGGCTCTTTAAATAACGTCCAAAATCACCTATATCAATGTACATTGTTAATTTGTTGTTTCGGAACCTGTCAAGAATTTTGTACGTATGTTTTCATAGAATAGCAATGATGCTATAAACACTTTCTCGACATGTACGTGAAGCATTTTTTAAAAAAAAATATTTTTCAAACTTTTGTTAAGCTTTTTATAACTAAAGCACATTTTTGGGAATCAGGCCTATGTTCTCCGAAGGAGGATTCCAGTGAAAGTTGATTGAATAGTTGATCCAATACCAGTACCGTCACCATACACATATTCATCAGAACCATAAATCTGTATCCATGTGTGGTCATCTTTGTTCACATTTATGATCACCATCGCTGAACTGGAGTCTGCCCCTCCAGGACGAGGCACACAACTTGAGGCGCGAGATGTACCTCCTACAATCAGCTGGGTGTAAAAAGCACTGCCTCCTGTAGCTATGCTCCAGTGGAACATGTAGACCCCTGTCTGAGGAGCAATTAAGATTCCGTCCTCTGTGTGATAATGGTTTCCGATGTTGATGTACGTCTGATCAAATCTTATGATTGTCCGGGTACTAATACCGCTAGTACTTGAGGATTTGTATGCAGAAAAAAGCACAGGATCTGTTTGATCGGCCAGGACACCTATGTAAAAAAATATGTTCATTTCATTACAACTCGCAAGTCTAAAAGCTTTTAAATATCGATATGTAACTGCTATTTTGAGGCATTTTCTCTTAAATTAAGTTGGTTACCATAGGCCTTAAATAAAATGAAAATAATCTCAGGTTTATGCACTAAGATTGTTTAAATTTCTATTTGTTTTTAATGCATCTTTTAAAAATGCAAGACATAAACATTACTACAGTGCCGAAATAAATCGAACTCAAAATGATTTCCCTTGTTTATAAAAGACAAGATTCACTCTAAAAAAATCTTACTAGATCTGATAGCAAGGACATCCATTGAGGACACGTCGGCATCACTTCTCCCTGTCAGTAGCTGTCCTAACACTCGCTCTGTGGCGTTCAGTCGCTGTTCTGTTGCCTGTTCCAGTCTAGACAGACGTTCCTCCAGACTGGTCAAATTCCGGCCTTTCAGGAGGGTGGTCAGCTCAGCCGTTGAGACAAATACAAAGAGAAGAGGCAAATGATAAAGGAGCATCTTGAAGCGTTATTCTAAGTTTAGCCCTGCTAACTTGTTTTTGCTCTGTAGCTCGGGGAGGCATATAAAACGTTCACGTTGTGAATGCTTTAATAAATATTCACATTTTATTTTTAGCTTGCCAGTGCTTGACTAATATTTTTGGATTTACTACTCTGTATTCATTGTCTGTTTAAAGGAATTGAATTAGATTTAAAGGAATAGGAATTCAAAGTTATATTTTGGTTTATCTTCTTTCTCTACTCATTGTAGCGTTCATACATACACACTCACCTTCTGAAAGCCACTTTTCAAACAAAAAAAGATAGTTCGAACGAGATGTCATTCTTTTTACGAAGGTTTTCGTATCATGGTGTCAGAATTGAATCATGAACTATGATTTTTTTTTTTTTGCCAAATTTTCAGCATTTTTATGCATGCTACTGAAGCAGTCCAAGCATATAATGAAAAAAGGTTTCTGTATGAGTCGAAATAAAATAGATGTCCAACGCATCAAGATTTCGTCATCTCCTTAACTTCATGGATTGTCCGTGTTTTAGGTGATAAGTAAACTTCCCTTTAAATTCTTTATAGAGTTGATAAAAAATATATTGCTCACCTCAAATTTTGATGGGACTCCTGAGTGTGGAATTTTGGGAATTTTATCAGAATTGTTTTATGTTGAGAACGATCAAAAACATTTGTATCTGCTGTTCGATCCACTTCATTAATTAAAATAAATATAGTTTTAACACTTTTATCAGAAATTCGGCAGCTTCAGATTTTGTGGAGAGCAGGAATCCATTTTATGTACAGAAATAAAATAAATACTTAGAGATTACTAGACGCTTTATTCTGCATTATGCAGTCGCTCGAAAGTGTTGATTCATTCTAATATCTCATGGAATATATGAGTGTTATTTTTATATCAAAATAAAACAACGATTTCTGTGGGTTTTTCAATAAGTCGGATTCATGAAAAGCAAGAAGTGTTCCTAAGACACTGATGCCCCAGTATGGCAGAAGAAGGTCAGCTTTGAACTTCTTCATATGTCAAACAATGTTGGTTTGCTAATATGAAAACCCGAAAATCAAGCATTCAGTAAATATATATGGCTAAGATAAATGTTTTTAATAGGTGTTCATACTCCAAAGTCAAGGTTATAGAGTAAAAACGGGTATTACTAGGATTTCGCCATTAGAAATAAATGTGATGTGAATCCCTAGAACCAACTGTACAATGTTGGTTCATGGGGAGATTAGAGTTTTCACTAATGTGGGTGAAACTCAAAAGTAAAGGCAATTATTTAAAAAATGTATTTAAAAAACCGACATTAGTACATAAAGAGAGAATTAGGCATATTGAAGCCCTAGTATCTAGTAATCAGGTTACATTGCAAAAGCGGATTGTAAAAAAGCGGGAACTGACCCTAACCAGGATATACTCGAAGAATTTGACCAAGAATTACATTCATTCCTTATAATTTGATTTCAAAAACAAAAAAATGCGTTGCTTTTTATGAGTTTAAATTTGCCGCTCAACAATACAACCATGGCTGCTAGATCTATCTATCAGTTATTACCTCCCCTAGCTTCCCCTCACTTCCTTTACTACGATGTTTGTTTAACTGCCGTAAGATCGAGTTAATGCTTGAAGTTAAAGGTACATTTATTAAATCTGGAATTTTCTGTGAATCACGAGGACTGCATGCATGGATACAGATGAATCAGCTGGTTGTCAGTGGGGTGTTCCCATACCAAACCAGGTTATACAGAAATAATTTGCGTTCATTTATGGATATTAACCAGTGAGAGGCTAGAATAAAAAAGAAATTAAATCATACATATTTAGAAGTATCCTTTTGGAAAGTTAGATTTTTTCTTACTGATTTAAATCTCAATTTTGACTTAGTAACGCGTATGGTCCAGAAACAATCATGTTAACTTAATAATTTTCGTGTCTAGATCCTCTAGAATTAAAGAACCTTTTTCTGTAACCATTCATTGATAAACATTTCTAGAAGAAAGGGAAATCCAGATCACAGCACTGGAGGAAGGATTTGAGTCAATGAGCACAGATGATAAGGTTTACAGAGCGAGTGATTAAAGAATTTGAAAATCAACGCATGAACATGAATGCAGTAATAGGAAGCTAGTACGTCGGTATATAAGCAGGACTTGTGTATTCTTCACCTCTGCTGATTCCAGCTAGAATGGATAAGAAATCAGTGGTGCCAAACGAAAAAAAAGGAAATGCTTAAAAAGAAATTCAGTGTGATTAGATTTTGGTTGACAATATTTTTATATTGAATCGTCAACGGAATTATTCGTTTACCCACTCACGACAAGGGGAATACAGCGGAGAAAAGAAATGCTTACTTTTCCACGGTATCTGATCCCATCACTGACATTTTTTTTACGAGTTCGTGTTTGCTCTGCATACTGTTGATATTATTTTGTTTACTTTGACTTCTGAGAAAGATAAATATTTCAGACTTCATCTAACTGGCACAATAAAGATGCAAGAATATTTTAACTTGTGCTATAATTAATCACCTTTCTGGTTATCAAACAAAATAAGTTTTGAGTTTAAAATATCATCATAGGTAACACATGGCTTAAGGTTCATTGATACTCTGATGAGAGATAACTCTTAATGACATAAATGTATATTATTCCTTTATAAATTTGTTACATTTCTTTTGGAAAATCATTACGGTTCAAGCAAAATTTCATATGAGTGAGCAGATGGTTTTGAACCTTAAATTATACTCGCATGTGGAGTCATCACGTATATCAAAGATTTGTTTTTAAGTTACCATTAAAATCTTTTCTTTTTCTAATAAAATATCTAAAATATGAACCAAATGTTTCAGACCCTCTGGTAGCTTTTATTTCAAGCTCACTGGGATGTATCTAGTTGACATATGAATGGAAATAACTATTGTTAATTGATAGTACGTCGTCGATTTATCTGAGTTTGAAGTTTCATGAATACAAAAATACGTTGGTTGGATTGTTGGAAACGTGATTTTCCAAAAGCGTAAGCATCTTCAGAGTACTTGTGTGTACAATAAGCATATTTTAAGGAAAATAATTTTAGAAATGGGGAATGAAAGGGTGTGGATATTTATGAGCTCCATTTTTATTGAAAAAGCAGCTATCAATGTTGTCAGATTAATCTGAGGACTACTTATAAGTGTTGAAAAGTCGTATGTTTTTATGTTAATTATTTTGATAAAAATTTGTGGTTTCAAATCATCTAAAAGTTCCTTAAAATCATCTGATTTACACCACTTCTCGAATATATTGTTGGACAGTACTCCTCTAGTTGCAAATATTTTAGCGAAGAGTAAAGAAAGAGGCTTGGAATAAACGACTGCAGAATTAACATTTTTGATATAATAAAATCCGTTTGAAAGAAACCTATGTATTTATTTGCAGTATATTATATATTCTATTTTTGCAGATGGTTATTTACTTTAAACGTGGCTATGTAGAGTTCTAAAAGTAACCATTGTCGAAGAAACACTAGAAACGAAGTAAATTATTAACAAACAAGTTGATGAAACAAGAATTTCAGCAGTTTCGTTTAAAGTCATCATTTCGTACGTTCTATGGTCGATACAATGACCTTGCCAGCAAATACAATTTATCATTGAGTCAAATGCTGACTGACGTTTTTCATACTAATTGTTAGTCGATTATTTATACACTGAATTGACGACGGATTCTTCCGTTATTTCCCGATTATTATATTTATTTTATATATTTGGTAGTAACGGTCTGATTCTCTAATTGAGACTCCATCGGGTTTTTTAAAAGCATTGAGGAAAAATTGTGTGTAGAAAACGAACAGTCAGATCAGTGTTCGGGAGTGGGAATAAAGAATTAACCGTTGAAAATAAACTTTTTTGAGGGAGTCTAAAATTTTCAAAAGCAAGTGGAAACTTGCGAGTTTATAGACATTTTAAATTGGAATAGCGCCCGGTGTATAGTCTTTTAATTTCTCTTTGCATTGTTTTCTTATTATCGCTTTTGTCAGGAATATGTCATGTAAAAATAATTGCAGAACTGTATTTCTCTGCTTGAGAAACTTCAGACAGATTATGCAGAGTTATAAATCTAAGCATTGCAAATATCTTCTTTTCATAGTGACGCTTTTTGACGATCGCTTTCAGTATAATTTCTTGGGCTTTTTTTAAATTTCCAGGAAAAGGGGGAAAGGATGACCTCAAGTGGTCGTGACCTATAAACTAATTTGATGTATCCTGAAACACGTGCAAATTAACAAAGAAGATGCGTGAACATGACGAGCGAAAAGCCTTTATTGCGAAACATGAAGGTGATAAATTTTAAACAGTATTTTGTATTCTTGAAGTTTCTTCTTCATATAATAAATATTTTATTAAGTGGTCAAGAAAGATGCTTGCTTGAACATTTATTGGTGCTTGCTTGAACATTTACTGGAACCCGCTATGTATCCTTGTTTGTAAGTATGTTATGGAGTTTATAAATCCAGTAAAATTATGGTAATTGAAATTCCTTTTGATTTTTGGGAATACTAAAAATATCTAAAACAGACATATGATTTTGAAGATTTTCCTCCCTAGAAATAGAGGTATGGGTGTAAGTTGGATTCGTAAGAACGAACCACTTATTTGTACGAACTGATAAATATTTTTACGTGGCCCTCCAGTGCCGCCGTAGCTTTATTACTACTTTCAAATTTGGTAGTTCCGTAGATATTGTACAAATGAGAGCATGAAAAAATACAAGGTTACAGCTAGGTAACAAAGAGATAAAGCGAATCATATTATGCATATAAATTTGTATCAGGCTAATTTCTCTTGCAAATATCAATATTGAGGTGAATGGGTGGGAATGTACTGTGGCTCACAGCTTCAGATAGCGATCATCAATAGCTAGTTTTATCAATTTTTCTAAGCTGCACAAAAGCTAGATTATCCAGAGTTAATCATGAGTCATTGCTTTCAATGTTTGAAATATAAAATGTTTCTGACGTCTGAAATAGTTTTCTGAAGATATACACGTTTGCTGACTTTCTCTCTTGTGTAAATGTTAGTCTGTCTAAGTTTTCCTCAGGAGGATTCCAGTAAATGTGGACGGTTTGTTACTTCCAATACTATTACTACCACCATAGACATATTCATCAGAACCATAAATCTGAATCCAGACATGATCTTCTTTGTTCACGTTTATGATCACCATCGCTGAACTGGAGTCTTGTCCTCCTGGATAAGGGATATAATTTGAAGCACGAGATGTGCCTCCGACTATCAGCTGGGTATAAAAAGTGCTGCCTCCATTAACTATGGTCCAATGGAACATGTAGATGCCTGTCTGGGGAGCAATAAAGATCCCGTCTTCTGTGTGATAATGGTTTCCTATGTTGATGTACGTCTGATCAAATCTTATGATTGTCCGAGTACTGATACCGCCTGTAGATGAGGATTTGTATGCAGAAAACAGGACAGGATCTGTCTGATCGACTAGAACACCTATTTAAAAATGAAATTCGTGAAATTTGAATTTGCGTTTCCGATAATACCAATAGTTTTACAGAAAGTGTCATTCAAATCCACATGATTTCTTGTATTTTGTTTTTCATATAATAAAAAAAATTAACTGGGTTGATATTCTTTTTAAGACAAATAATTATAATTAAAACTGATATTCAAAATATGTCTTTTTTCTTTTACCTTTTTTTAATTTCATAATTTAAAATAATCATGTTTAATTCGATCTTGGTCGCTTTGTGTAAAAAGACCTTTTTAATATTTTCCACATAATAATCTTACCTGATCTGCGAGCAAGAACATCTAGTGAAGAAACATCGGCATCACTTCTTCCTGTCAGTAGCTGCCCTAACACTCGCTCTGTAGCGTTCAGTCGTTGTTCAGTCTTTGACAGACGTTCTTCGAGACTGGTCAAATTCCGGCCTTTCAGGAGGGTGGTCAGTTCAGCCGTTGACACTATGGCAAAGAGGAGGGGTAGATGATAAAGGAGCATTATGGAAATCTAATCGCATGAAAACTTATCATTTTTTCCTTTTCTGTTGGTCCTGCTCGAGGGCTCGCTCAGCTAAGCTATGTTCAAATTTAACCGAGTTGATTCTCTTATAACATGCAATGCTTAATTTAGCTCACCTGTTTAGTCTTTATTATAGATTTCTCATTTGCATTCAATTTGACTGAACAGCATCAAACATTTTAAGATATCTGATTATAAAAATTTCTAATTGTTATACTAAACACGGAATCTTAAAAAATTTTAAATCCCTTTTTCATGAAAATCTCATTATATTGTTTCTTTTTGTCTGTACCTTTTTCAGAAGACAGAATATAACAGGTAAGATTTTTTCAAGTTATTAAATAGAATATTTATTGAATGCTGACACCTTCCTGCTTGCATAATTTTTAGAACCAAAAGCCATACTTTCCATTTTTTATATTAACAGTATAATAGTATGCATGATTCCTTTTATGCAGGTTACTGAAATTGTCCTGTATCTTATTAAATTTCTTCATGTATGATTAGAGTTTCCATAAGGGTTTCAAAGTACCCAGGTTTTCCTTTTCTCCTTAACTTTTAAATTCTTTACTGTTGATAAGAAAAAAAGTTTCCGGTGAACTCTTTATATAAAGAACGAGTTGTATAATTTGAGATCTGGGTCGAATCTTCTTAAATGTGGAATTGTTCGCATTTTTCAGTCTGAAAAAAAGAAGTAAATATTAAAGAACATCTGAAAACCACTTCTTTTATTTTTTTAAATATCGCATAAGTTGCAAAATATTTTTCCTTTTTAATTTACTTATTTTTGTTTCATTTCTTTAATCTATTTACGATACATAGATTCATGAATACCAGGTTTATACTATAATTTTATTTTTAAAGTTAGATCGTTAGATAATCGATTCTCAGTCAATCTTATCATTGATAGAGATAATAGGCGAAGACAGTGACAGAGCTCTTTATAAAACTCTCACGGACATACTGTATATATAGTATATGACAACAGAACTGCGACAAATTATTTAATATAGTGAAACTGTGCTTAATGTTGGCTATTCGCTATGTGTCTTACTAAGCTTATTTATTAACTTGCACAAGTTTATGAACAAAACATATACATTTTTGGCTACTGGTTTATCTTAATCAAAGTACTGAAAGTACTCATGGGAGTTGAACATTGTTATCTGAAAGATCTCACATGAAGTATAGGAACAGTTTCATGCTTTCAGATTCAAGTCAGCTAGAACTGATTTGTTAGAGATACAACACAAAACATATAATAATTCCTATTGCATTTGAATAGCCAAGATCATGAGACTGCTCTTAAATTAGCTGCAGAACTGTTGCTCTCCGATAAAAAGATTTTGTCAGACGGGAGAGCTACAGTGCCATCCATTGAAAAAACTGTATATTTCTTGCGTACGAACAGTTACGTTTAGTTCTGGATTTATTCTTTCTAATTCTTACCTCAACAATCTGACCAAACCAAACAAACAACCCTCACCACCAAAAAAATAATTTTTCCAAACTCGAAAATACTATTTTGTGGGTAGGTTTCAAACTTCTTTCAGTACCATTTATTACTCAAACTCAAACACTGCCCATATATTTCTGAAGCATTTGAATCAAAACGCTCCCTACTCTCATTAGATTGTGTGCAAGATATTGGTCCCAAGAAACAAACAAACAAACACTCTTTATATTCGATGTTACCATCACCAGACACTAGATTGTCATTTTTCTTCCTCTGATTAAAACAAGTATTTGCTATTCTCTTTTGGGTATGAATGTTTCTTTTCGGACACAGTAATTAATTTTTGTAGAACTCCGTGCTTATCTATTTTATCAAATGTATTTATCTTTATAACTTAATCATCAAGTTTTGTTATTCCATAATTTTAAATTTCATTTCAAGTAATTTCTATATAGAAGTAAGTATCTGAGTACTTAACATTTTGTTTGTTTTACATTCGATAATTTTTCAATCATATTGAGACACTACCACTTGTCGATGGAGCTATGTGGCAACGCACTTTGAAAAAATTACGCACTTTGAAAACAATTTTCAAAGTGCGTTAAAATTGGGACAAAATTAACGCACTTTGAAAATTTTTTTCAAAGTGGGTCAAATTTGGGACACACTCAATGCACTTCGAATTTTTTTTCAAAGTGTACATAAAAATTTTTTATCGTGGGGACATTTAACGCACTTTGAAGAAAATACGTATAAAATAAAAAAAATCTAGACTTAGATTTTAGTAATTGAGAGAATCAATTCGTAAAAATTATATCTTTCGAAAAACTTTTTAATTTAATTATTACATTATTCATTTAACCTCATTGAGAACAAGGAGAAGACGATTAGAGGGTCTCTCATCCACCTCTCTCTTTTTTGATGCATTAATATTGTACATAGCCGTCGGTAGCAAATTGAAAATGGACCCCCCCTCCCCCCAAGGTAAGCCTTAATTTTCAATGCCTATATTATGTATATTTTTGCTAAACATTTGTGTGCCTAAGTCCCCCCTACCATGCCTACACTAACCCAAATATTTGTATTTGTCTAACTGGTATAAAGTTGACAACTATCAATAAATTTTAGATGAAATTAAATGCATGCAAACTGGAAAAAAATTAAGTACAGTAAAACATTCTTAAGAGAGAAAGAAATTCAAAGTATGGAAAAATCAAAATCGCTCACTTTCACATCCTGAAGTGACCTTATCACCGAAAAGTTATCAAACGGGTTCAATTATTTATCACACCTAAGATGTACATACACATTTTTTCAGAGTGCGTTAATATGGTCGATATTAACGCACTTTGAAAAGAAATTTTATTTTTTCAAAGTGCGTTGACTTGGTTCAAAATTTAAGGCACTTTGAAAAAAAATTTCAAAGTGCGTTGTAACAGAGCTAGCTACATGTAAGTCTACAAATTTTTACCTATACACGGCACTCAAAACCATTGAGTAGTGAGGGATCGTTTTGTGCAAGCACATACTGCGACATGGGATTTCGGTTTATATCGTCTCATCAAAAGAGTTTATCTCCAAATGCATCCCACAGGATTCGAATCTGCGACGTAAGGATCAATTAACACCTTACTTTGAATCTCTAGAGCAAACTATTTTAACAACTGCGCCACGCGAGTGACACTTAAAGTTTGTGATTTTGATTTGATTCAAATGTAATTAAAAATCAGACATAGTTTAACGAGCTACTACAAGAAGAAAAATAGTTGTAATCATGAGGAACGATCTTTCTCACAGATCGATCATTGGGATTATTTTACCATTGTGTCCTTGCATACGCATGTATTCATTAATTTTAATTGTTTTCATTATATAATAAAATCAAATGATACATTTCATAAGATGATACTGCAATGCAATTACATACACATTTTTCAAGTTCAGATTTGGTGTTGTACACGTGATCAACTGAATGCTGATAAATTCATGAAATTAAGGATGCAAAATTAATGTCATTTGAAATTGTGAGATCGAACATCAACAAACTTTAATGCTATTATTTTTTCCCTTTACCAACGTAAAAAAAAATGAGTTGCATGTATCTGGTCTGACAAAAATTTTCCAGTCTAACAGATCATTTTACTTGTGAAAGCAAATAAATGTCTGACAGTGATATTTTTCGCAGTATTTTTTTTTAAAGAAACGTTGTTCTGTTTCTTTATTGCTGAAACAAATAGAAAGAAGTTGGGTTAAACCTTAGCGTTCCTTTGACCTTACATCTTTGTTTACATCTCTATATTTAGACAATCGCGTCATTGTCAAACCAGTTAGACCAGTTGTTGCTCCTTAGATGACCTCGCACTTTTTGTAATGGAGCGTAGTGGAGTCAGCCGAGGATTGCCGAATGATAAATGACGGAAAACTGGGACTTTTTTTCATACGGAAATCAAAATTTACGTGTCATTTCTCAAGAGAGATGACAAAAATATGCTATTCAAATTAAGTTAAATAAAATTCTATTTCATTTACTTTCAAATCATTTATGAAAATTAGATTAATTCAGAAAAATGAGATGGACTATTTTTATTGCGGAAGTTTCTTCGAGTTTATATAGACTGGTACGAGTTTGTGTTGAATATCACAGGGGAGTAAATTGGCCGACACAGAAAGACCACGACGGCCGCTATATAATTCATTGTAAAATTACTGCGCTAAAATTACGACCTAGGGAGTCTGAACATAGTTCAACTCCCAAAAATCTTACATTTCGTAATCTCATTTTTTTTTTATAAATGAAGGATGCATAGAAAATGTTTCTCTTGAAAAGCTGAATCCAGAACTTTTTCAGATGTTTTTACCCTAAATATTACTTTATTCCACTTCTGAGCACAGCTGCAGCTAGTTTGATTCTTTTCATCCTCCGGTGTCATGTACTCTGATTCTTCAGATGTCGTGTTAGCTAAACCTTAATTTCCTTTATTGTGAATGTAAACAGGTTCGTAGCACCGTTTTAAAAATCAGAGGCCAACTTAAAAAAAAAAACATTGACGCACAAAATGAAAAAAGAAAAACCGTAAACTCCCTAATTAAACTCGAAAATCATATTTCGAATAGGAGGAGAGAGAGGGTTGAACTTGTATCTAACTCTTTGGTACATATTTTTCAAAGCTAGCATTTGCCATTGTTTGCTCTCACAGCAACAAAAAGGGAAATCAGCATCTTAATGAAAATGTACATATTTTAAAAACTGCTGCAATTTAATGACTGTACGTGTTTGGGAGAGCTCCCTCCGTTTCCAAACGGACCTGAAAACAGAGTACATGTATGACTGTTCTGTCAGCGACCCTACTTTTTCTTCTATTATGTTTAAAATGATTTTTTCACAACTAAAGGAAAGTTTTTTCTTAATTTATGCAGAAAATATTTTCTATTAATAGATGATTGGTCAACTGCATAGAATTTCAAATTGATCATGTTTGGAAGAAAATGGAGGTTTCATAATATAGTGGGGTGTTTATTGCAAAGGTACAAACAACTTTGGTCACAATCTGCACCACAACATTATAATCGTTATTTTTCAATTTCTTTAATCTGTAAAATTTACAGTTTAATCTGTAAAATTTAAACTTTAATCTATAAATTTTACACAGTAATCTGTAAATTTTACACATTAGAGTGTGAAATTTACACTTTAATCTGTGAATATTACACATATTTATGTGTAAATTTTACACTTTAAACTGTAATTTTTACACATTAATTTG